GGGGGGGGGGCAGGCGACGTGTGAGCTCACAGCATCCACTGAGCCCTCCTCAGGAGTCAGGTAATTTGAGGGATGGAGAAGAGAGAGGCAATATATTATTTTTGGCTTTTTAAAGCTTTGAGTACTGGTGGGAGAAGCCATTGTGGGAACTCTAAAATATGCTAAGAATTATAAAAGAGGTAGAAATAAGAGCTGTGGGTGTTCAGGTAATAATACATCGAGTTTCATGTGAGTAAAATTGGTATAAATGTAGTGGCACATTTAGTTTTCTTACATTAATGTCTGAATAAAAATGAGAGGAAAAAGACACTTTCTTGGAAGTGGCGACACAGGCTGTCTTTTGGAGCAGTTCCCAAAGGAACTGGCCATTGGCCTCCCAGAGTCCTTTGCTCCAACCCTTCTTCTCAGGCATTCCTTCTTGTCCTTTAAAACTCAACTTCCGGTGACATCTTTAGGATGTGAGTGTTTTTTTCCCAACACGGGTATTCTCACTATGAATGTAAATGTCTTCTGTGGCTTTGAATACACGGTATCATACTGAGTCTCCTTGGTGTTTTGTTTTTTGTTCTCTTTGTTTTTCTGTTAGACTGTTACCTTGCAGGGAAGAATGGTGCCTTTGTTTGACCCTGGTACCCCAGGCATGAAAGGTTTGAATAAATGACTGACTTTATAAACAAAGGATTGCATAAACTGGCCATTCTAATGCCCAGTTGTATGAGCATTAGAACTGGGGCTGATTCACTGTGTCTCAAAACTTAGAGCATACAGTTTTTGTGCAGGGGCCCTGCTAATCTCCTCTGTATCATCCAATTTTAGTATATGTGCTGCTGAAGGGAGCACAAATGTTAATTTTACAGTATTTTTTTTTTTTTTGTATGGGGGATCTCACTTGGGACCTTGCATTTGCGAGGCAGGTGGCTAAACCACTGAAATAAATCCCCAGCCCCATTTTTGTGATGATATTACTAGATGATTTTCTTCTCTTGAGAGCCAGCTGTCTAAAACAAGGAAGCAAGCTGAATAACATTTTTTTTCCTTTTTCTTCAGTTCCTGAGCTCTTGGCAATCAAGGAAAGCACTTGGTGTTTGTAAGAATTTGATGTTGAAGGCCAGAGGGTTTTCCTGTTGTAGGCACAGAAGGTTGCATGGGAGAAAAGGACACCTTTAAGGTCTAAGAAGCATTGAGTGATTTTCACTCAGACATTTTCTGAGAGTCGGGAGAGCCTGGGTCTGTTAATCGTGTAGTGACTCAAGAGAGACTAGAGGCTCCCAGTGTAGTGACAGGATCATAAAACACCAACGAAAACTCAGTGAAGGAGAAAAAAGAAGAGGCAGACAAAAGCGTATTGCTTCACTTGTGTGAGTTGGATTCTTTGCCCAGGCGGGGACATGGGATTGAAACCGGGAGTGGTGCTTTTAGTTGCCCCTCTAGATATTGCACATTTACTTAAAATAGTAAGTGTGGGCTGATCTTTTATTAAAAAATTAAACTTTAAAAAGGACTTTGTGGTAGATAAACGGAGGGACACATGTCCCGGAGCCACCGGGCTGTGAAAGGAGCTTCGAGACCAGCCTCGAAAGAGAACGAAGGTTGAGGGAATTGTCCTTTTCCCCCTGCCTTCAGGGTAAGGACCACAAATCCACGAGGCACACTGTAATTCTAACAGCTTCGTTCTGTTGCTTTTCTCAGGGGGGCAAATGTCAAGCTAGAAGGGAGGAACACTGATAATGAAGACAGAGGTGCTAGCCAGACAGTGAGAGAGCTGCTCAGCACTTAAGAGGGGCCTACCTGGGGGGCAGATCGCCGAGAGCAGCGGAGAAGCGAGTGTGGCGTCCTGTGCCCACCAGTGCAGAGTGGGTCCCCACTGCAGACAAGGAGGCTGATGGTAGGAAGCTCCAGGCTGCTGAGCTGGATCAATTCCGATCAATCCGTGCTCCAGTGACTTCACACTCCTAGAAGGGAGTCCACACGGGGTCAGTATAAGCACTAATGTCAGATCGATGAACATTTTGTGGCGAGGCTGACAGTGATTAAGCCAGTTTGCTGGACTCCTGCGTAGGGTTTCCCGGGTTCTTAGAGCCACGACGGGGAAACCTGGCCTAGGTTGTCATATAGCTGCTTGCGTTGTAGCTTCCGAAGATCAGTGTCCTCATGGCTGCTTTCTTCACAACTTTGATGACGATGTGGACATCACGCTCTTTGGTTTTCTTGGGACTGGGAGGGTCACACAAAACACCTGGATTTAAAAAGTTCTGGCAGTTCTATTATTTAACAGAAACCAACCATGAGAAATGAAGCACGGGATAAATGTACAGCCTTGAATTCTGGTTCTAAAAGATCAAGCGTATTTGTCTATTATATTATTAATGGATCATCTGAGAAATAATTGGGGTTTGGACGGAGACAAAGATCAGTGTGAGCTTGGCCTGCCAGTGACCGGGTTGGCTGGGGATTATATGGATACAAGCAGTGCTCAGAGCAAGGGTACGGCTGTTTCTTCTCCAGCTCGACGGAACTCATCTCCCAGGTGGGCCGTACGTTTAACGTGGGGTGTGTCGCGAGGGGGCGCACTTAGCAATGCTCTCTTTAGAACGGAAGACCGGAGGGCAAAGGACAGAAGCGATGGGCTTTGTTTTAACCCAGAGAAGTGGGGATGAAAAGGGAAGGCTTCTCAGGTATTTGAGGAAAAAGGAGTCAGCTTGTTCTTTTTCTCAGCGAAGATCATTGAGTCGCGGCTGTGAAGGAAGAGACTTGAACTCAACATGAGCTGTAGAAAGTAGCACTTAGTGAGCGGAGCGGGCCCTGCGGGTAGCAGCGTCTCCATCTCCAAAAGAGGCCGGTTCTCAGTCCGCTGGGATGCTGCAGCAAGCATGCCGGAGGCTGGTCCCCTAAACAGCAGGAGTTTGTTTTTCATGGTGGTGCGGGCTGGAAGTCTAAGGCAAGGGTGTCCGCAGATCCAGCTGTGTTTGGGTAGCAGATGGCCAGCAGATGGAGGAGGACAGCTGGTGGTGAGACAGGGCCCTCTTCTCACAAGGACACTAATCTTAGTTGTGCGGCTCCACCCCACAGCCCAGTTACCTCCCTAAACCCCGCTTCCTGATACCACTGCGCTATCGGAATGATACAGGGAAACAGGTGTAACGCCCAACCTGCTAGTGTCTGATACACTAAGTTCGTATTCTCTAAAGTCAACGAATGAGTTCTAGGGACAACCGAGGTTAACAGGAGGGAATATTTATTGAGGGATAGACAGCTCCTGTCTGAGAGGGACGGGGGGACCTGGAAAGTGGGTTGTCCAAAAGCCCACTTTTCAAGGAAGTTTCATAGAGCAAAAAAATCACATGGTGGGCATAAGACGGGACAAAACTATGGTCAACCCGTAAGATTACAAGTATAGTGGCTTAGGTAATATTGATCCAGTGGGGAAGCAAGTTATGGAACAAGTGTGCACAGAAAGAACAAGGGCTTTTCCTGGAAGGGTTGGGTCAGGAGGTCTAGGTCCCCCGCCCACGGTGACTGATGCTATTTAGAATATCCGTCATTACTGTTTCATCCCTTGGGGAAGTATGTAGTCATAGTTGTAAGATGGGCTTATCTTCTGCACCGACTGCTTTGAGGGCTTAACCCTGTCTGACTGCCTAGACTGTTTCTGTCTAACTTAGCTGTCTATGGTATTCCCCCTCTGAAGAGACACCCACCCCTAACTGCAGTAAGCGGGCAGGGGTGATGACATTTCTAGTACTTCTGGCCGTAGGGGGTGTTTGTGGTGATAGGCAGTCTGAGACACTCTGCAGAGGTCTGTCCGAAGGCCCTTGATAGACACTGGGTGTTCTCATCTTGGGAGGTATTGTGTAGCTTCAGGTCTGGAGGAGATAAGGCCAAAGAGACAGTTAAGTATGCATGGACCAAATGATAAGATCAAGAAGACTGTTATGAATACAACCAAGAAAAATTTCCATTGGAAAGAGCCATAAAGAGGATAAGGAGAAGGTCTAGGGAATCTTAGAATCCAACATGGCTTCAACCTGTCATTTAATATCTTCTAACAGCCATGGAGATATTAGAAGGATCCGGAATGTATAAAGAACATTCAGCTTTAACAGTTGTGGAAGTACCCTGCTGTGCTGCGGTTAGAATGTCTAATGTCATCCGATTTCAGAGGACAGCTTGCCTCATTAATTTTACTTCTTTGTTTGGAAGAGAGAGGCACAGTGTCATTTAAGGCCCGCTGAGTATAGTTAGTCAAGGCCTCAGTATGTTGCATGACATCTTCTAATCCTAGGGAAAGGATAAAGATAGAAGCCAAATAATAATACCAGGGGGCCCGGGATTTAGCTCAGGGGTTTTGCTGCCTGCCTCACAGTGCAAGGACCCAAGTTCGAACCCCAGAACCAAAATAATAATAATTAATAATAATAATACCAGGGAAATACATTTTTAGACCATTGATGTCTTTGTCTGAAGTCAGCTTGGATTCTTCTGTACCAAGAGAGCTATGGCAGCCACAGCTCCAAGGCACACAGGCCATCCTGTGGGACCATCTCTGATTTGTGACTCAGAGACCCTACAGGCCGTTGAGCAGGTCCTTGATCTTGCATCAGCACTCCCAAAGCCGCCCCTGCCTTTCCTCAGGATGGTGTCCTGTCCACAGGCTCAGTGCGGGGGCATTTAGAGGTGCTTGTTTAAGCTTCTAGAATGCAGTCTGCGAATCAGGTTTCCAGGTTAAAATACCTGTATTTGCCTTTTGGGCTTACTTTATAAACTATTAGAAGAGTCTTGTGATCTCATCAGATCTTGCTATCCAAAGTGATAAAAGCCTGTAATTCCTAGGAATCTCCTTAGTTGTTTTAGGGTCTTGCGTTGTAGGAAGGAAAGTATTAGTTTAATTTTCTCTTCTCCAGCCTTCAATTTCCTTTAGGTATATAAGGCCCAAGTATTTTACCTCAAGGCTGCAGAGCTGTGCCTTAGAGGCATTTGTAGCCTCTGTGTGCTAGAAAATTCAGTAGAGTAAGGGTGCTCCAGCCGGAGGGCTCTTCTGAGGGGCATGTAACAGCATATCATCTGCAGGTTGCAAGGCAGTGACTTGAGAGAATCCAGAACTCGCCAAGTCTTGGGAAAGCACGTGTCCAGATGGACGAGGACCGTCCCTGAACCCTGGAGGAAGCGCAGTCCAAGTCTGTTGAGAAGCCTGGGCATGAGGATTTTCAAAGGCAAAAAGAAAATGAGACTCTGTATGTAGAGGAATATAGAAGAAGGCATCTTCTAAATCTAACACTGAAAACCAACTGGCATCTTCCTGGGTCTGAGCCATATACATTACAGTATTTAAATGAGATAAAATAGCTCTTTCCAGGAAGACTTTCAGGCATAGTTAAAAGGAATATGTAAAAAGAAAGCCATGGCAGTTCCAGCCTAAGAGAAATAGCGAGTTACCTCCTCCCCAGTGACTCCTCTCACTAAGGTATGACAGCTGGAAGGTAGGTGAGGGGTGAAGAAGGACCAGGAGGCAGGTGCCAGTGTCCAGCACTAGGCTGGCTTTTCCTACTGTCGCGATTACCCCGGCCTCCTCCATGGAGATGACAGTGTAGCCAGAGGGAGCAGGTGGACAGTACCCCAGGACCTTCAGTATTGCTGGACCAGCTGGTGAGATGGGTCTGGTTATTCCCAGGGCCTTTGCCTCAGAAGCCAGTCCCACTTCCAGTGATCGCCTTTTCCATTGGCACGGCACAAGGGGTCTTTTCAGCAGTCCCTCTTAAGGTGGCCTGGCTTTCCCCAGCAGTAGCAGGTGAGTTTAGTTGCTGAGCTCTTGTTGGAGTCCTGAGAATCAGACCTAGGGTCTA